GGACCACAATTATCCTGACCTTAGGAATATTGCACATGTTTCATGGTAGTACAAAAATCCTGGGATGTCTCAAGATTTCCTGGGAATACAATCCTGTCATCATCCTGGCCTCAGGAATTTGACTTTGAAGTGTAAAAATCCTGGGATATCTTGAGATATTCCTGAGATCAACAATCCCCTTATTGTCATAATGACCTCTGTGATTTTGTCACTGCTTTCAAAAACAGGTTCAAGTTCTCAAAATGCAATTAAATATGGACAATGTCCCTCTGTACACTAAAAAGACAATAGAATTATTATTTTTGCAAATTATTATTTAATCATTTTTTTCTTTGGAACTTAAGAAGTCTTTTATGATGCAAGGAAGATAACACTGACTCCAGGGATGCATTCTGTTATTAGGCCTGTAAAGTATTAAATTAAGATACTTTATTATTCTAAAACAATTTATCACAATAATGTTTATATTAATGGTCAAAATAAAAAAAACAAGATGTGTTTGTGAAACACTATGCGCCCGGCGGCAACAAAGTTCAAAAAATCTATTTTTAGCATATTGGTCACAGTCAAGGTCACAAGGTCATTGACCGTGGTGTCATTTGAAAGAACTTAATCAGTGGAGTATGCATCCCAAATATGAAGTCCCTAGCTCCTATGGTTTAAAGTTATGGCAAAAAGTGTAAAAAGCTATTTTTAGCATATAGGTCACAGTCAAGGTCATTGACCATGGTGTCATTTGAAAGAACTTAATCAGTGGAGTATGCATCCCAAATATGAAGTTCCTATCTCCTATGGTTCAAAAGTTATGGCAAAAAGTGTAAAAAGCTATTTTTAGCATATATGTCACAGTCAAGGTCACAAGGTCATTGACCATGGTGTCATTTGAAAGAACTTAATCAGTGGAGTATGCATCCCAAATATAAAGATCCTATCTCCTATGGTTCAAAAGTTATGGCAAAAAGTGTAAAAAGCTATTTTTAGCATATAGGTCACAGTCAAGGTCACAAGATCATTGACCTTGTTGTCAACTGAAAGGGCTTTATTAGTGGAGTATGCATCCCAAATATGAAGTCCCTATCTCCTATGGTTAAAAATTTATGACAAACAGTGGAAAAAGCTATTTTTAGCATATAGGTCACAGTCAAGGTCACAAGGTCATTGACCTTGATGTCATTTGAAAGGACTTTATTAGTGGAGTATGCATACCAAATATAAAGTCTCTATCTCTTATTGTTCAAAAGTTATGGCCAAGGTTAAAGTTGACAACAGACAAACAGACAGGACAAAAACAATATACGCCCGGGATCTATCGATCCAGGCGCATAAAAATATGATCTTTTTCATAGTTCAGTTGGTTATGAAAGACCAGTCAATAAAAAACTCATATGCATCAATGTTAAATTAGCAAATTACACTGAAAGAAATAAAGATAATATATAAAATAGTACTTAGCAGTGAGCTGTGTACTTTAATGATGTACATTTGACCTTGTTTATGTATAGTTCTTCAAAGAAACTACAGAGAATCTGGAAGAATTGTTTAGGAAAATGTTTGATCATATATTAAAAACTATATATAAAACAATAATTACATGATGTCTGATGATGTAATTCATGTACATTTATTTTACACATATATTGTATTTACTGATAACATACTGTATTTATATGTAAATTAAGTACTAATTTATAATTAACACAGATGTTAAGATACTATGCTTAATAATCATAGTAATCTGAAATGAGGGATGGAAATACAAATTTAAAGCCCATGCACATACCCTTTTCTTAACATTCTTGAGTACCAGCAAATCTTTGAAATTTTCCTCTCACGTACTACATCCAAGTCATTCGTATCTTCGATATTTCCTTATCTCATGGACATCATAATAAGACACAATTAACATTTAAATGTTGACACCTAGTTCAATATGGTGATGACACATTGTATTTCCCAAAGCATATTTCACTTCTTTACTGTATAAATACGTTCATGTTCCTCACAAACATCAGTTTGCATTGAAATTTTGAACTGGTCTGAGAAGGCGCACAAATCCTGATTGGCCCTCCTCATTGGATACTGCTCTACTTTAAGTAACAGTGGGGGACACAACAGGTTGTTTAGATTGAGGAAAGCATTTACAAATTGATGGGATGAAGATTAGAAGGTCAATAAATTAAAGAAACTCCTGCCTGGCCCCCAATCATTTGTGATGCTATCATCAGAAAGAATTAACACTTAACACATGGGCAATTGTAATGAAGGGACCACATAGAGATATTGAGTCTTGACTTCAGGATATCCTAGGACTTTGAATTGAGCAGTCCTGATCTCAAGTTATTCCAGGACTTATTTGATTCAGTTTGTTTTAGTTCAGAAAATAGCAAAATTCCTGAGATTTCCTTGTGTCAGGACTAGAACTCTTGTAAAAGTCCTGAAAAATCCTGGGAAGAACCTGTTCTGGGGAAGCGTTTACATGAAGTCCTGACATGTCCTGATAGAATCCTGAACCTGATATCAGGACATCTCAGGATTTGACAATTGTCAGGAGCAGAAATTTTGGAGAGCAGGACATGTCAGGATATCTCAGGAAAATCCCAGGATATCCCGACTTCTCCTGACCCTCCAGGATTTATTTCTGCAAGGGGAATTATACTTAAAAAAGAGAGTAGCTTAAAATCGTTCATAACACATTTTTGTATCAACTAAGTAGCTAAGTACTCTATGCCAGTACTACTTAGTTAAGATTTTTGAATGCATTTTAATTTTGAACAGAATAGCTTTAGGGCTCTTCATTGAAAATAAACAAGATTAGTCATCCTAACAACTTCACTACAAACATGACCTTAACTTTACTAAAGACATGACCTTAACTTCACTAAAGACATGACCTTAACTTTACTAAAGACATAACCTTAACTTTACTAAAGACATGACCTTAACTTTACTAAAGACATGACCTTAACTTCACTAAAGACATGACCTTACCTTCACTACAGACTTGACCTTAACTTCTCTAAAGACATGACCTTAACATCACTAAAGACCTGACCTTAACATCACTAAAAACATGACCTGAACTTCACTACAGACTTGACCTTAACTTCAATATAGACTTGACCTTAACTTCACTACAGACATGGCCTTAACTTTACTAAAGACATGACCTTACCTTCACTACAGACTTGACCTTACCTTCACTACAGACTTGACTTTAACTTTGCTACATACATGGCCTTAACTTTACTAAAGACATGGCCTTAACTTCACTACAGACATGACCTTAACTTCACTACAGACATGACCTTAACTTCACTACAGATATGACCTTAACTTCACTACAGATATGACCTTACCTTCACTAAAGACAAGACCTTAACTTCACTACAAACATGACCTTAACTTCACTACAAACATGACCTTAACTTCACTACAGACAAGACCTTAACTTCACTAAAGACAAGACCTTAACTTCACTAAAGACATGACCTTAACTTCACTAAAGACATGACCTTAACTTCACTACAGACTTGACCTTAACTTCACTACAGACATGACCTTAACTTCACTAAAGACATGACCTTAACTTCACTACAAACATGACCTTAACTTCACTACAGACATGACCTTAACTTCACTACAGACATGACCTTAACTTCACTAAAGACATGACGTTAACTTCACTACAAACATGACATTAACTTCACTAAAGACATGATCTTAACTTCACTACAGACTTGACCTTACCTTCACTACAAACATGACCTTAACTTCACTACAGACATGACCTAAACTTCACTGAAGACTTGACTTTAACTTCACTAAAGACATGACCCTAACTCCACTACAGACATGAACGTAACTTTACTAAAGACATGACCTTAACTTCACTAAAGACCTGACCTTAACTTCACTACAGACATGACCTTAACTTCACTAAAGACATAACCTTAACTTCACTACAGACATGACCTTACCTTTAATAAAGACATGACCTTAACTTCACTAAAGACATAATCTTAACTTCACTACAGACATGACCTTAACTTCACTAAAGACATGACCTTAACTTCACTAAAGACATGTCCTTAACAAATCACAAAAGACATGACCTTAACTTTACTAAAGACTTGACCTTAATTTCACAAAAGACATGACCTTAACTTCACTACAGACATGACCTTAACTTCACTGAAGACATGACCTTAATTTCACTAAATACAAGACCTTAACTTCACAAAAGACATGACCATAACTTCACTAAAGACATGACCTTAACTTCACTAAAGACATGACCTTAACTTCACTAAAGACAAGACCTTAATTTCACTAAAGACAAGACCTTAATTTCACTAAATACAAGACCTTAACTTCACTACAGACATGACCTTAACTTCACAAAAGACATGACCTTAACTTCACAAAAGACATGACCTTAACTTTACTAAAGACTTGACCTAAATTTCACAAAAGACTTGACCTGAACTTCACTACAGACTTGACCTTAACTTCACTACAAACATGACCTTATCTTCACTAAAGATTTGACTTCAACTTCACTACAGACATTACCTTAACTTCACTAAAGACAAGACCTTAACTTCACTACAGACATGATATTAACTTCACTGCAGACATGACCTTAACTTCACTACAGACATGACCTCAACAAAACTTGGCCCGAACTCATCTTCACTAGACCTGTCTTTATCATAATCATGTGACCTGACATCAAGCTCTATAACCTGACCTAATATCCATGGATCATTGAATGTATTAATTATTATAATATTGATAGAACAGTACTGGCTGCTCTATCCAAATTTTCTCAGTCAGATATAGCTACAGTTCTACATCATCCATGAAGCATTTAAGATAAACTAGCCAGATTAAGATATTTACTTGTTTTAAGCTTTGTTGTCAAAATATGTGTTTTCTTCTGAAATGTAAAGAATTAAATCAGTCTTTATTATTTCTTTATTATTGTTTTTGTTTTGTAGAGTTTCTGAAAAAGGAGAAAACAACTGTTTTTCATGCCCGAGGAATACTTGTTGGATGTGGTGAGGCTGGGAAAACAACACTACTGAAGCGATTAAGAAAGCAATGCCAGAATCGTGGTGAAGTAACAGAGTCAACCTGGGGAATAACAACACTGCTGAAGCTATTTAGAGGGAAACGACAAAATGTTGGTGAAGTTACAGAGTCCACCAGGGGACTGGAAGTCCATCAACATATCTTCATTGTTAGAGATGGAATTTTAGAAGGTAAAAACAATTTCTGTATATTTTCTTTTTAGGAAAGAAGCTTGAATTGAATTTTAATTGTGAATCACGAACATTATTGCAATTCCAATTATAAAAAGACAAAAATGCAATAAATCTGTCAAAATTCAATGACTCAAATCGAAATGCAAAATTGACGTTCTTAAGTGCACTCATTCTTTGTAGTATTTACCAGGACAGGAAATACCAGTATTTACCACTGGTAATTCCAACCTCTGGTATTTCCAAGTCAACCCTGAGAAAGAAATGTACTGCCTCTTTAAAAATTATGAATTTCATGGCCCCTGGGTCAGGAGTTGGGATTTTAGGGCGGAGCTTCTTTTGATAATAAAGCAAAAATGCACTTTTTCTTTGAAAATCTCCTCCTCTGCTCCTTGGTATTTAGCAGTTATGAACTACTTAGTATATAGTGATAATGAACAAGGGTCCTTCTTCCAGAATTGTGAATTTAAAGGCTCCTGGGTCAGGGATAAAGTAGAAGATTGAGAGGGGGCTCTAATTAAATGAATTAATGCATTGAAATCTGCTTCTTAAACTAAAATTACTCCATCAATAATCCGTGAAGATGTATATATTAAAAAAAATTACTTATGAACAGTAAAAAGGATGTTGGATTTTGTATTTCTTTATTATACCCCCCGAAAACGTAGTTTGGGGGGTATATAGGAATCACTTTGTCCGTCTGTCTAGCTGTCTATCTGTCCGTCCGTCCGTCGAGCTGTCTGTGCAATCGTGTCCGGTTCATATCTTTCTTACAGAGGGACATTAGAATCTACTAATCCACACAAAGATTGCCTATGACCTAAGAGTGTGTCATGACCTTGACCCAAGGTCATTTAGGGAAGTTCAAGGTCATATCTTTCTTATGGATAAACTTGGTAGGTTTTCATTTTACAAAAAATTGCCCATGACCCAAGGGTGTGTCATGACCTTGATCCAAGGTCATTTTGGGAACTTGAAGGTCACTTGAAGAAAAATTTCATAATTCGTGTCCGGTCCATATCTTTCTTATGGATAAACTTGGTAGGTTCTCCTTTACACAAAGATTGCCCATGACCCAAGGGTGTGTCATGACCTTCACTCAAGGTTATATGGGGAAATTCAAGGTCACTGGAAGAAAAATTTTCTAATTTGTGTTTGATACATATCTTTATTAAGGAAAAAATTACTTCTGAAAACCCAGCCGGGGGTATTTTGTCCCCTTTGGACAGTTCTAATTTGCTTTGAATAATCTATTCAAAAAAATATGATACATCCAGTAAAATTTATCTTCTTTATCATAAGTTTTGATAAAAAAGAAATATAACAACTAAATGATGTGCTTTAAAAAGAAATCTTTAAATTTTTTTACAGTGGCAGATGATGACTCACCATTGAAGACATTTATCAGGATAAACACTGCAGATTTGATACCAGACCCATCTAGTGCATTTGACATCTCCGATACAAATGAAGACAATTTAGAACTAGAAAGTACTGATAAAAGCTCTGAAGAAATTTATAGCAGAGAAGAAAAGAAAGAAAAAAATGTTGAGAGGTCCAGTTCTCCAACTGAAGGCAATGACGAACAGAAAGAAGAGAATATCGAAATGTCCAGGTCACTAACTGAAGGAAAAGAAGAAGAGAATATAGTAGAAATAATGTCCAATGTTCTCTCCTCAGAGGCACAAGCAATGGTTAAGGAGGGACTTTTTGAAAAAATCTTGTCTGAAAAAGAAAAGTTACCAACAGTCAGCATGTTGGACTTTGCTGGGCAGTTGGCATATTACGCCTGTCACCAAATTTATGTAACACCAAAGGCCTTCTTCATCCTTGTGTTGGACATGACCAAGAGGTTTGAAGAGGTTGTCAGTAAAGAAAAAGATAACCAGGAAGGATCAATCTTCTCTGTGTGGACTTACAAAGGTAAGACAGGAAAAGTGATATCAAGATATTAAAAAGTAAGACATAATGTCATAATATCAAGGCTTACAAAGGTATAATTATATAATGTTGTGATACTCAAGTATTTTAATTTACAGTAATTCATTTTAATAACGAAAACTGACTGTAAAAAGAGAGAGGTTCAATTTATTAAATTATAACAATCTAAACAAGAAATATATTGACGCAAGCGGCAAAAATCGGCCGCAAACCAATTTATATAACTGTTGAAGTTCCTTTCAGAAACTGAAATTTGCTGTTTTAAAAAAAAATTCTTATATTCATCACTTTTTTTCCCAACCTTACTTATACTACAGGAAATGTTTTAAATTGAAAGGCTTGTTGGCCCCCACCTTTAGACTTTTAGTGATCACCGGAATGTAGTATTAGGATTGGTACTAAAAGTAGTTGACACTGATAAGAAGTTTACCTATAACCCCCCCCCCCCCCCCCCAAAAAAAAAAAAAATTGGATTTTCGACTTTGGGCAACTTTTTCATTTACCCTTTCTTTATTTTTTTTTTTTGCTTGTCAACTTTTACTGGTAAGTAAAAAAAAATTTTCTCTGGCTGGCCCCCCCCCATTTTCAAAAACGATGCTACGCCACTGAAAATATCCTCGTGACATGAAAAAAAAATGCATGCGACAATGCAGATCGCATAATGCATGTACAATATTACATGTTAGGCAGATATATAAACTATGCATAGTCCTCTGCGTCTCTGCACTCAGTTTGGTACAACTTGCTGTTTAAGTAGTTTAACATAAAAAGTACAAAAACTGAAGTTTAAACTTAGCTATAGCTTTACCTTAATAAAAACGCAACAAATATATAACATGTGGGGCTCCTCGCTCTCTCTTAGATGATGTTAACCCCCCTCCCAACTCCTTCTAGATCCACCACTACATTTCTTCTCTTTCAATCTCTTTGTTTTGGTGTTGAGATGTGGCGGGAAAATGTTTGGCACATTGTAAAACGCGCTCTATCCTAGTCTCCTGGACCAACATGTCGTAATATTCTTTGCTTTTAAGAAATCAATATTTCATCACATTTTTGAAAAACATCCATAGGAAATGTTTAAATATACACTTCATTTCAAATTAATTCAGCAGATCCTGTTTTAAAAAGAGAAAGGAAAATTGTTGGTTAACAACGCGGTCGTTGTTTTAGACTATGCCTAACACTCGTACTAATTTTCTCCGCACCTCAGTTATATCAAAGTTTGTCACTCAGGATTGGATAAAATATTTACCCCATTATTTATAAAATTAAATTTTACGATTATTGTGCTTTTTCCTATTTAGACAATCTTTGTTTAATATTATAATGCCGGCGATATGATGTTGAATATTTTTATTTAAATTGTTAACTCCGCAGAAACGCACAGCGATTTAAAACTTTCATATCATATAACCGACCGCCTCCTGGCGGCCGGTAACAATAATGTATACAGTAAAATTCGGTTAGTATGAACACATATGTCACAGCCGTAATTTATCTAAAACTCCATTTATAGACAACAATAACACAGCTGGTGGGTTCTTTTCTTTATCTATGATGTTTCAATTACTATTGATGATGGATATTACAAGAATAATAATTAAAGGTGACCTGTAAATATAAATGAATACACTCATACACTTACACTCACACATTTAATTCTTTTAGATTACTTTAACTGTTCCGATTAATTAGATAATTAATTGATAAGGTGTTTAATACATTCAGAGCAACGTTGGTAAATTAATTCTTACCGATTAGACAGATATTACATCGTCTTCATTAATCATAAATGAGAGACTTTATATTTGGAGAGGAGATAAATTCATCCTTCCTCCTGACTGTCTTAGGGTGGAGTGAGTTATTAAGGGTGTTTGGCGCCAAGCATGCGTATTTGGTACCAAACTAGTAAAACCACTCACACACTTCTCACACTGAAATATCAACCAATCATACACCTTCAAACCGCACCCATTCTGACACAAACACCTTTGACCTTTCACACTCTCAAACCAACCAATGAGCATTCAACCCCATGAACATCAATGAATGTCTTTATGAATGACTGAACACATAGTAAATTCCAGAGTACTGTAATTCACTATGCTGTATAATAGATGAAAATGATGATGATGGAAATGAAATGATAAGTATATTAGGTAACAAATTATTAATGAATAAATTATATAGTATTTATTATAATAATAATTTATTCACCCTGTGACACATATATTGCGATTTCATGGATATGATAAATGCATCTTTGATCCCCAACTATATAAATGTAATATATTTCTTATACATGTTATACGGATATAATGAATTAGGGATGTAGCGAAGTAATTTCTTAGGCCCCCCTTACTTCGAAATAACTGAGTTTTACTATAATTTTTCATCATTTACCTTTATATACCATAAACCACGTGTTCTTCTTTTATTCCTGTTTTATAAACACATTGCTGAGCAGACCACGTGCTCGTCTGGAGTTTACTGAAAACAGAGAGGCAATTGAAACTATCATAATTAAATCGAAGGGGTCAAAGATTTGAAACGTGTATAAATGGAAGACCTGTAATACTTAGGTCATTATCAGAAATTATGCGTCTCGTTAAAAATACAAAAAAGAGTTACCAAGTAGGTCAAACTGATTTATTAAGGATGATGTTTGTGTAATTTATACAAATCAATTGAGATTTACCTGTATGAACTCAATTGATGATTGGCTTAAAAGTGCTCAAAATACCAACACTTCTAATTATATAGCCTCTGGGGAGTGAGCTTAATGGTAATTAGCATTATTTTTATACATACAATGTTGAAAATTTACACGAGCTGTTTATAAACTATGTGAAATTTTACGCGTTTAATTTTTTTTTTAAATTTATTAAACTTGTAAAAATTAGCAGCACATAAAAAAAATCCGTTAGACAGTATGTTCAAATGCTGTCTTCAAGAAAACAATTTTTGATTTGAAGTATTTTCGATGGAAAAGCTTTCAAAACATAAAGACTTGTAATTCTATAAGGGATGTCAACTCGGTCAATATTTGATACGCGGTTACTTGGACGTTTTTTCGATTGTGTACCAGGTTACACGGTAAAATATAAAATTTTATTATATTAAGTATGTTCTTGAGCCCTGTTAAGTCCTATTAAACCCAAAGATGTTTTATTATAGTTATTGAGTATACAGTGGGGCAAAAATCATATTTCCTGAAAAGTCTGTTTCCCTAATAAAGATTAAATATTTTTTTTTGCAAAAGTAAGCAAGGTGTTTTGAAAATTAAGCGATGTATTGTAATCAAAGACTAAAGCATTAAAACATTTTTTTTTAAGTAAAGCTACAAAATTCCACTGTTGTAAGTATAATCCAGTAGAAATACACTCACACACCAGTCTGTTTTATCCTATTATGATACTCTACAGCACGGAATGCTCACTCCTCCATGGCATCTGATCCCACCTCTGATGGAAGGTCCGTGTTTGCTCTGCTCTTATTTAAGAAATAAAGTCCGCGTTTTCGTGAATGTTGCAGAATAACCTCCGAGGTCGAGAAATGTTGTTTGAAAGATAAAAGCCGAGGCGTTAGCCGAGGCTTTTATATTTCAAACAACATTTCGAGACCGAGGAGGTTATTCTGCATCATTCACGACAACAAGGAATTTATTTCTATTCTACCAAGGGCGATAAAGACGGCCGATTGTTTCCTCTATAGAGAAACGAATTAGGTCACCATGTCTCGAATACGCTGTTCTTTTTAACACCAGAGAGAAATTTTGTTGACTTACCTATAAATGGAATGCAGACGATTTGAGCTTTCGTTGCATAAAAAATAGTCTTTTTAAATTACAATTTTGTTCGTTATATGTATTGATCAGTTAAAATGAATATACAAAAACAAAATCATGTTCTTGTTTTACTGCTAAAATCACGTTGTTTAATGTGTAGGGAGGCCCGTGGAATAGCCCCGCTTAGCTATAAAAACCGACATTCATCAGCAACTTGGTGCAATGTACAGTGTTTATACTGCAAAAGACGACACATCGATGCGGTCTAAACAAGTATTTCATTCTACAGCCAAACATGCATTTGAATTGTTCAGATTTGATACGTGTTTCTGATCTGATAATTTCTTGATGACGTTCGTGATTTATTGGAGAATAATGTCCGGCGGCTTCCTTTGAAGTTTTCAATAACCGTGGTAGAATTTGTATTATTTTATGGACTTTGATATTGAATTCTGTTCGTTATCTCAATTTCCTTCTATTTGTTCTTTCAGACTACTTAAAGTTCTGGATAACCTCAATCAAGACATTTGGAGGCACTAAGGCACCAATGTTTCTCGTTGTCACACACACAGAAAGAAAATCTACTGATGTAAGTATTGGCTTTATTATGCTAACAGATCTATGTATTACAATCTGAGCGTAAATTAAAAAAAGAATAAATAAATGATACAACAATGTTTGACGTCACTTTCCATAATTTTTCACTCAGACACTATTTTTGGGTAGCTAAGCAAAAGATGTTCTGATACACTTTTGTTGTTGTTATCATTTTTAGCTCACCTGAGCCGAAGGCTCAAGTGAGCTTTTCTGATCACATTTTGTGTGTAGTCTGTCTGTCCATCCGTCCATCTGTAAACTTTTCACATTTCCAACTTCATCTCAAGAACCACTGGACCAATTTTAACCAAACTTTGTAAAGTTCAAAGTACAAAGTAAAAGTACAAAGCATCGTTGGGGGATGGGAAGTTTAAATTGTTGAAATAAAGGGCCATGTCCCCTTTCAAGGGGAGATAATCAAGAAAAGACAAAAATAGGGTGGGATCATTAAAAAATCTTCTTTTCAAGAACCACTGGGCCAGGAAAGCTGAAACTTACGCGGAAGTATCCTGGGGTAGTGTAGATTCTAAATTGTTAAAATCATGACCCCCGGGGGTAGGGCGGGGCCACAATAGGAAATCCAAGTTTTACATAGAAATATATAGTAAAAATCTTTAAAAATCTTCTCCTCAAGGACTAGTGGGCCAGAAAAGCGGAAACTTAACTGGAAGCATCCTTAGGTAGTGTAGATTCTAAATTGTTAAAATCTTGACCCCCGGGGGTAGGACGGGGCCACAATAGGGAATCCAAGTTTTACATAGAAATATGTGGGGAAAATGTTTAAAAATCATCTTTTCAAGAACTACTGGGCCAGAAAGGCTGAAACATATGTGGAAGCATCCTGGGGTAGTGTAGATTCTAAATTGATAAAATCATGACCCCCGGGGGTAGGGCGGGGCCACAATTGGAAATCCAAGTTTTACATAGAAATATATAGGAAAAATCTTTAAAAATCTTCTCCTCAAGAACTAGTGGGCTAGAAAAGCTGAAACATATGTGGAAGCATCCTGGGTAGTATAGATTCTAAATTGTTAAAATCATGACTCCCGGGGGTAGGGCGGGGCCACAATAGGAATTCCAAGTTTTACATAGAAATATATAGGAAAAATTTTCTTCTCAAGAACCAGTGGGCCAGTAAAGCTGAAAATAATATGGAAGCATCCTGGGGTAGTGTAGAATCTTAATTTATTAAAATCCTGATCCCCAGGGTAGGGCGGGGACACAATAAGAATTTTTTTACATAGAAATACATGGGAATAATCTTTAAAAATTTCTTATAAAGAACCAGTGGGCAAGGATAGCTGAAACAAATGTGAAATCATCCTGGGGTAGTGTAGATTTTAAATTGTTAAAATCATGACCCCCGGGGCAGGGCGTGGCCACAATGGAGAATCTGATTTTTATATGGAAATATATAGGAAAAATTGTCTTCCCAAGAACCAGTTGGACAGGAAAGCTGAAACTTAGGTGGAAGCATCCTGGGGTAGTGTAGATTCTAAATTGTAAAAATCAAGATGGGGGGGTAAGGGGCCACAATAGATATAAGAGGAGGGGAAATCTGGTAAAGAACTGCATCACAAAAGTTACTCAGGTGAGCGATGTGGCCCATGGGCCTCTTGGTTTTTTTTTTACCTTTGTAGCTTAAAAAATTCAACTTGTCCATTTTCATCACAAATGATAAGATTTCTTGATCAAATTGTGTCACTCGCCCGTCTAGCTATCTTGTTTTCCATTTCTTTGTTCAGATTTCCGACTTCTTCTCAAAAACCGCTGTTGAGTTATAATAAGGCTGTATGAAGGCTGAAATGCCTTAAAAATATTTAAAATTTTTTTTAGCAAGATTTTAATTTCAATATGTAATCCTTGCTTAAAAGTACAGATAATAATTTAATCAGGTATTAAGATAAAGCATTTTTTTGATCACATGGGGCATTTATGATATTCGAATTCTTATATGTTGCACAAAGGTTGAAGCTAAATGATAAAGAATAAAAATATCAATGAACAGTGGTAATTTTCATTTATTATCCTCTTCCTTTTATTTTGTTAATATTATTTTGTCCAATTTTAAAAAAAAAACACAGAACGGTACTCAAATATTAATCTCATTTAGATGTTAAGATCTGTTCATTTATTAAAAGTTAAATTTCAGCATCAAACTTCTAGTTTATTTTAAGAATCTTTATTAAACAATACTTTTATCTGTCCATTTCATAGCATTTCTCTTTGAAATTTAGCCCTTTGTTAAGACAACGCTTGCAAACAGTTTGAACCACACAAAATTTCTTGAGAAGAGTTGGGATGTTTTGTGGAAATCTGGGAGGTACATTCTTGAGTTTTTAACCATGCATCAATTTTAATATTACGTTTCAAAGACTTGTCATACTGACAGACAACAGTTTTCCTTTAGTATTTGGGATAAAACGTTTCTGATCCATGTAATTTTTAAGTGGGATTTGAACGATTTTTTTTCAACATGACGGAGTTAACTTATCAAGTTCAATGTGCAATCTATTACAATAACTCTTTCCAGGTATCGATGTATCATTTAATTTAATTTTTATTCACGTTTGATTTTTATAGAGATGCATAAATGTTCTGCTCTTCAACACAATGCTTGAAATTGAATGTTTCCAACATGGTCTGACATTTGGCGGCTTTTATTTTGTCAAATCGCCACCTATAATCGCTATATCATAAATACTATGAAGAAAGCGTTTTATTGACCCGAGTTGTTAAATTTATGTGAGCTCAAACCCGACTTTAAAAAGCTATTTCGACGAACGAACTAACTTGTACTTAACAATGTAAGGTAAGACGATGAAACGATAAAAAAAAATATTGTTAATGTTTTGCCAATAAATTTTTTTGAGCGGGGGTTATTTTAAAGAGGTGGGCGACAATTCCAAACAAACTATAATTTTTTTTTGGCCCGACCAATTTCAACCAAACTTTCCACAAAGTATCATTAGGTGAAGAGAATCAAGTTTGTTCAATGAAGGACCAGGCCCTCTTCAAAGGGGAGATAATTATGAATTAGTCAAATAAGATGAAACTCATGTGGAAACATCCTCAGGTAGTGTAGATTCAAGATTGTTCAAATCATGACCCCTGGGGTTAGGGTGGGGCCACAATGGCCGATCAAAGTTTTACATACGAATATATAGGATTTTTTAAAAAAAAATCTTCTTCTCAAGAACCACTGGGCCAGGAAAGATGCAACTCATGTGGAATCATCCTCAGGTAGTGTACATTAAAGTTTGTTCAAATCATGACCCCTGGGGGTAGGGTGGGGCCAAAAATGCCGACCCAAGTTTTACATAAGACTATATAGGGAAATCTTTAAAAATCTTCTTCTCAAGTGCTGCAAAACCATGATTAGTGATATTTATTATTATATGGAATAATCCTCAGGTAGTGTAGATTCTAGTTTGTTCAAATTATAACCCCCAGGGATAGGGTGGGCCACATTGGAGGATCCATTTTACATTAAAATATATTTCAAAAAATCTTCTTCTCAAGAATAGCAAAGGCATGATTAGTGATACAAATATTTATTTGGAAAGATTCTTGGGTATTGTAGAATTAGATTTGTTCAAATCATAACCCCTACAACTTGGCCTGAGAGCCATAAAACTTAGATGAGCTCACTTTTGATCTCATTCTCAATAGTCAACAGTCAGCATGATGGAATCAAGTTATTTTCTAAAATAACTTGTTTATGTTACTTCACTTATTTATTACTAAACAAAAAAGTAACTCATTTGAGTTAATGATTAAAAAGTAGAACACCTATTAGTTTTGCAAAAAACATTAATATTTTGAGTTTGCTGCTGATTTAAGATGATTTAAGGCTAGGAAAATTGTAAATATATGTACTGTTTTTAATAGACTCAACAAACTTATTATCTTCTGAGCAGTTATGATGATATTAAGAAAATAACATGATATTTTTCAATGAAAAATAATTCCATTTCATTAACATTTCAGAGGTCAATTACACATCTTCCGCCAATTTTGCCAACATTGAGACTAATTTTCCTAAAATCTTTGGATATCATTGTACAATCTCTTTGTCTTACATTTTTAGCTCACCTGAGCTGAAAGCTCAGGTGAGCTTTTCTGATCACATTAATTGTCCGGCGTCCGTCTGTCTGTCTGTCTGTCTGTCTGTCTGTCTGTCTGTCTGTCTGTCTGTCTGTCTGTTTGTCCGTCTGTCTGTCTGTCCGCCTATCTGTAAACTTTTCACATTTTCGACTTCTTCTCAAGAACCGCTGGGCCAATTTCAACCAAACTTGCCACAAAGTATCCTTGGGTGAAGGATATTCAGATTTGTTCAAATGAAGGGCCACGCCCTCACTCTAGGGGAGATAATTGGGAATTTATGAAAATTTGGTGGCATATTTAAAAAATCTTCTTCTCAAGAACCACTGTGCCAGGAAAGATGAAACTTATGGGGAACCATGCTCAGGTAGTGTAGATTCAAGTTTGTTCAAATCATGACCCCCGGGGGTAGGGCGGGGCCAAAATGGCCGACCAAATTTTTACATAGAAATATATAGGAAAATTCTTTTAAAATCTTCTTCTCAAGAATGACAAAGCCATAATTCATCATAATTATATGGAAGCATGCTCAGGTAGTGTAGATTTAATTTTGTTCAAATCATGATCCCCGGGGGTAGGGCGGGGCCAAAATGGTCGACCAAAGTTTTACATAGAAATATATAGGAAAATTCTTTAAAAATCTTCTTCTCAAGAATGACAAAGCCATATTTCATCATATTTATATGGAAGCATGCTTAGGTAGTGTAGATTCAAGATTGTTCAGATCATGACCCCCGGGGGTAGGGCAAGGCCAAAATGGCCGACCAAAGTTTTACATAGAAATATATAGGAAAATTCTTTGAAAATCTTCTTCTCAAGAGTGACAAAGCCATAATTCATCATATTTATATGGAAGCATGCTCAGGTAGTGTAGATTCAAGTTTGTTCAAATCATGACCTCCGGGGGTAGGGCGGGGCCAAAATGGTGGACGAAAGTTTTTAAAGGTATATATAGGAAAATTCTTTAAAAATCATTTTCTAAAAAATAGCAAATCCATGATTGGTCATGGGACTTATAAGTAATTATAAGCCCTATGATGACCAAACTTGCATTGATGATACATCTAAGGATGCATACTACCGGGCTTGCTTCAGATGCTGAATCTGACCTACATTTTCTGGTTGAGTGAACAGGTTAAATTTTTTTGTGCAGGTTTCATTTTCAAGTAACTTTAAGCCCTATGTTGATCAAACTTGCATGGATGATACATCTAATGATGCACACTAGAGGGCTTGCTTTGGAAGCTGAATCTGACCTACATTTTCTGGTTGAGTGAACAGGTTAAAGTTTTTGGTGCAGGTTTCATTTCAAGTAATTAGAGTTCTTTAATGACCAATCTTGCATGGATGATACATCTAAGGATGCATACTACCAGGCTCGCTTTGGATGCTGAATCTGACCTCCTTTTTGTGGATGAGTGAAAATGTTAGTTTTTGATTCATGTTTCATTTCCAATTAACTATGAGCCCTATAATGAGCAAATTTGCATGGACGATACATCTTAGGATGCACTTTAATGTACTTGCTTTGGATGCTGAATTCGACATACATTTTTCAGATAATAGACCAGGTAAAAGTTATGGTTGCAGGTCTGTTTCCAAAAAACTATAAGGCTTATATAACATTGTATAAACCAAACTTGCACAAATGTTGCATCAAGAGATGAAAACTCTCAAATTTGCTTTAGATGCTGGATTTTGATTACATTTTCATGAAGAAGAACTAGATTAAATTTTTTATGTAGGTCTCTTTCAAAGTATCAGATCAAAATTGCTTAAATATTTTCATTTTTGGAATGTACACCTTTTTGTTGGTTAATTGTGTGACTTTGCCTTACTTAAAGACAACATTCGTTGAGGTGAGCTCTGTAATCTCTGATTACCTATGTTTCCTACCCTTGGTGCTCAGGTGAGCGATGCGGCCCATGGGCCTCTTGTTTGTGCAAAGCTGTAGATTTTTGTGCAAGAGTTTTAAAGTGAGGTGGGATAAGGATGAAATCAATGAAATAAGTTATAATATGTTGGATTTCAGTGTGTTAAGTGTTAAAGATAGATTACTTTTACTGTCATGAACCATCTACCGGTACTTAATAACCCAAGCACAGCATGACTAAAGCCTTTCAGATGCCAGTAAGTTTACAATAATGAATAGTAAAGTATCAATATCTGGAATAAGTTACTGAAGAAAAGCGTAATCAGGGAAAGATAACCCAAAATGTTGATATTTAATAACTGAAACAAATTATTTCAAAAATAACTTGTTTCCATGATGCCCTTGACCCCGTATGAGTAGGGTGGGGCCACAATGATGGATCAAAATGTTACATAGAAAAATAAGAGGTAAAATCCCAAGAACAGAAAAGTAATGTCTAGTCATATATACATGAAAGCATCCTCATTTATTGAAGATTTAGATTTATTCAAATCATGGCCCTCTAGAGTAGGAAAGGAAACAGTGGGGAATCAAATTAAAATTATTATGAAGTTGCGCATAGGAAGAAAATGCTTAAAAAAGATCTTTTTTTCAAGAACAGCAAAGTCATATGCCGTATTAATATGAAGGCATTCTCAAGTTGTATTAAAATTGAAGCCCCCATCCCCCACCCCCAGCCTTTTGTACACTTTTTAGTTCAGATTTGATTTGTGCTTTTTCCTAGCCGATTTGCTCAGGTGAGCGATGTGGCCCCTGGGCCTCTTGTTCCAGTTTGTTCAAATCATGCACCCTGGGTTAGCATGGTTAGGGTGGGGAAACAATAAGGGATCCAACTTTTATGATGGGATCGTACATAGAAATATAAAGGGAAATATATAGGGAAAAAAGCTTAAATTTTTGGTTTTTGTCTTCTGAAGAACAGCAAAGTCATAATTTGTTATTTTGTATGTCCCCTTTGGTGTAGGAAAGGGCAGAAAAAAGGGGATCAGAATTTTATTTTTGAACATAGTGGAGATGTCTTAAAAATTAGTGTTCCTAAAACAACAAAGCCATGTCATATATAAAAGCACTGCTAGTATGATATACATTCAATTTTGTTCAAATCATGACTCTCGGAAATAGGATTGAGCCACAATGAACACTTACTAGGGTTTACATGGAAATACAAGGAATAATTTAAAATACTAGTATTCCTTTCAAGGAAACAGGGGAACCTGATTTATTATATTTATTTGGAATCTTTCTCAGTTGTTAAGATATGCTATAAAAGTTTTAGATGAAATATTTAGGAAAAAGAATCCCTTGGGCCTCTTTTCATATTATCATGATTATGGCTTTAAGAATTAAGATTTTTTCACCGTAGCAGATCAATATTCTAAAATTTAACAAAGAAGATTTTTTCATGAGAATAAAATGACATTTAAAAAAAATGTAGTAAAGAACAGGCAAATCAATAGATTCAGGTGAGTGTTCTGGCCTTGGGCCACATGCTATATTTTAATGTATGACTTTATTTACTTTTTCAGGAGATAGAGAAGTATTTTGAGGAATTCTGGGAGGCTGTACCAGCTGAGGACAGAAATTGGTTAAAAGAATCTCTTAAAGACCGTACATATACAGTGGGTCTAGTTAAACTTAATGACAACACGAAAAGAAATCTGGATTCAATGACAAAGTCCATAGTTGAACTATTTGCAAATGAGAACAATACAAAAATTGAGTTGCCTTCTTCATGGGCATTAATGGAGCAGTTATTATATGAAGGAGCCTGGAAGGTTTTGCCCTTGAGTGAAATTCGAAAGCTCAATGCATCCCTTCCCCTTGAATACCAAATTAAAAGTGATGAGGAAATGTCTGTGTTCTTAAAATGTTTCCATGACAATGGCCTTCTTTTATATTATGATGAAGAGAAATTGAGGGAGCATACAGTACTAGACATTCAGTGGTTTGCTAAGGCTTTCAGCAAGATTATTGCCGATAAAAACCATATTAATGAAGACTGCAAAACGAGATTAATAACAGAATGGAAATCCTTTAACAGAACGGGGGAACTGAAAGATAAAGTGATAGATGCTCTATGGAAAGATGAAACATCGTACTTGGAACACAAAAGTAAAATAATGTCGTACATGGAGAAACTTCAAATGCTGGTACCTTTGGACTCTTTTGAGGCTGTATCAGAAGGCGACATGTCATGGTATGTCCCATGTATGAATAAAAAGCAGTTTAAGTCCGACTTTTGCGAGGGAATGTGGGAATGCTCCTCCATTTTATGCTTTCGATTCACTTCTTTTGCCATGTTTGTGTTCTACAGACTGGTAGCGTACTGCATGAGTTTTCTAAAATGGAGTGTTTCAAAAGACGAAGACCATGAAGGAAGTCCTTGTCTTTATCAAACAGCAGCAGTGTTTGATCACAATGAACACACGGTTGTTGTTGGCATATGCAATGACGATATCCAGTTGCAAGTACTGAGAATTACACCACTGACTATAGACAAAGATGTATCAAATGAAATTGGGGAATCCATTGAAAAAGCCATAGAAAAACTGACAGAAACATTTATTGGCTCCAAAATATTCCACAAAGGATTCAAATGTCAAAAAAATATTTGTGATGAGAAAGATTCATCTTTCACCCTAGCAAGTGAGCTCTCCAATATCAAAACCGAAAAAGAAATACAGTGCAAGTGTCATCTTCTGGAGAAACATGTGATAAATGTTCAAACGACTCTGAGATACTGGGAAAAGGTAATTTTTACTCATGTTAATGCCCATGACACACTTAAACTGAAGGGAAATGGAAGAATCATCTTATCTTTCTCTCTAGTATTTGTCATGAATGTTGCAGGATACCCTCTGAATTTGCTGCAGAACTGTAGATCGATGAAAATTCGGATAGATAAGGCACACAGAGTGAAGAATTGTAAATATCTTCATTATTTTGATGCTCACCTCGCGAATAAAGTCTTAAAATTTTAGTTCTCCTCTTTAAGAATGTTATCGTGTAATTTATCGTGGGTTTCAAAACTATTCTGGATTCTTTATTTACCATACTTATTGTTAGTCAATTATTTATAAATGAGTTCAGTCAAGCGAAAAGGGACCTTCGTGACATGAACGTAATTACGTCACAATAGCGCTTCAAAGACATGACGTCGCATCTGCGTGTTTGCCGATGAAAAAAAAAATCGCACGATATAAATCAAAACAAAAATATATTATCGGAATACATATATATATTTAAAAAAGACACGTCTAAAACTATCTTGAAAAAATGTTTAATGTCGTCAATATATAGATTTACTGGTAATTTTCCAAAATAATTTATAAACTTATTTAATTTTGATTGTTTATGAATGGTTTTATTATTGAGCTGTCAAAAAATGTTCATCAACAAATTAATGTACCTGACTATCTCATTAAGATCTGAAACCAAACGCTTCTTCGGTCTTTACGGCCGAGCTCCATTTTTGACAGATAAGCAAGTGATCCCTGCATTTATTTCAATGTTTTTTTTTTGTTTTGCTTTAATTAGGGGGGGGGGGATATGTGTGAAACATTCCAGATTGTTTCTCCGTTAGACAGAAAGGCCCGAGAATTGGCGACTCAGTGCCCACAGTTTGTTGTCCAAGATTAATATTTGAATAAAGTTAACTGATTCTAGCATGGTTGCAACAGCATTTTGTAAATTCATATCAGGAAAAAATAATAATGCAGCAGCTGAGAAACAGCCATGTCATAAAGGATGAAGCGGCGAAACCCATACGGACTGCCATATTTACTCATAACACGTACACGTTGGCGCAACACTCTGAGGTGACACAATTAAATGTGAAGATAATAAACATTGGACATTTTCAAAACTAATTTGTGGTCTTGTATTCATTGCCTAAATTAATTTTAGTAAATTCAAACTAAACTCGGTGACTTAAGGTAAAGTTGTAGTCGAAAATTACTGACGAGCGAATTGGAAATACTGTGTAGGCCATGTAAAATCAGACGCATGAAGGCCGTTAGTTTTATTCTCTGATAACTTCAGGGAAAAGCAGTACTGTAAATATACTATAAATAGTATTAAATACTATACTATACTATAAATATGAACACATCTTGAGATTATAATCTTACATGATATGTAATTAAATTTGACCCCCACCTTTTTTTTTATAGATGTTTTATTACTAATGAAACGGGAAAGGAGAGCCTTTCAAAGAATAATTCTTCTTTACGTAATTTTTTTTCTTATTTCTTTCTTACGTTTTTAAAATAAATTAATTTTGTTCATTTTCATTTTTACGTATTTAATTTAATACTTTATGTTTTTTAGATTGACCATTACAACTATGAAAACACTGGGTACAACCCACCCACCCCCTAGCTATTTTTAAAATAAAACATTGCTCATATATTTGATCAATAAACAAAGTACCGAATTATTGTCTTGAAATTCACTTCATCAATTAAGTTATGTAAAAAAATTCTTCGATAAAACTCTGTATCCTTTCTTACTTATAGACGATATATGCAGAGTATCATGATAATTTGATATTTGGGATTTTTGATTATTTGCTTATATATTTTACGAACACTTATTTTTATGAATTCTATGAACTATTGGAAATAATTTTGTCTAATGACTCCCTTTTTCTCTTTGTAAAATAACCTTTTCCGCAAATGGAGTTGCTTTGAAGAATCAGGAATTATGGAAATTATTCTTGACCTTTTTTTATTTTAACCAACCATAACCAGACTATAAGAAAGAAAAGTTAGGATTATAAAAAAAAAATTAAATACGCTTTTTGAATTTTATCCCACAATCATCATTTATTGGTTACTTCATGATCTTTTTTTTGGGGGGGGAGGTGTAATTGCGTACACATATATCCCTCGGAGCTCCTCGGATGTCTCGTATACGATGTGTTACTGTAGCACAGTAAGCCGAGGATTAACGACTGTAGTGTGCAAATTATGCATAACGAGATCTACTCATAAAAAATGCAAATAATTGAAGTTTATGCTTACAATCACATGCTGAGAACAAATTTTAGAATTTTTTTACCGATGACAGCGTAAATACATATTGATTTTCAGGGGTGAGACCCATTTTCAACCATCTTTATTTTATTAGTTGCATCCATAAAATATGAATTTCACTTGTCTCATATGCGTCAGAACCGGGGAGGGGGGGTAGGCATTGAAATTGGGTTTTACCTTTTTGCTGGTTTAGCCCCCACTTTCAATTTACTTCCAACGCCCATTTAACTGATTATTCAATTTACATGTATGTAAATCTGTAATGTACTTCTATATTCAAGTGATGTTTAGATTGTATATCTGCAAGTTAAAATGTCATTGGGACCCTGACTTGGTCAATAAAATATTTCATAAATTAAGGATCAGACTAACTCGTGAAAAGTTGGCACATAAGCTTAAACCATTTTAGTACATTCTGATAGTCGAATTTAACGTCTGACACTGAATTGTGGTGCATCAAGCCTAGATATATATATTACATAACCTAGGCATTTTTCTTCGGTATTTTTAGTGCAGAGCAAATTAAATTTAACTCCTTGATAATTCCGATGAGAATAAAAAGCACGTTTTTTCACATTGAACAACAGAAATCGAACTGAATGAATGAATGCATTGAATTTACGCAACTTTGTTTAAGGCAGAATATGCCGGGCTCATTTTCGAAGAAGACATCCTCCTCCCCCCTTTCCCAATGTACAAAACTGTTCAAAAATTTTATTAATTTCACTGATGTATGGTAAAATCACAATTATTGATACAATATGTGTACCAGTATAGTATTACTTAATTAAATTTTCACACAAACAAGTAGCATCACTGGAGGGGATTAAAAAAAACACGTTTATTCTGATTTGAATTTATAATTTTCTAGATTTTCTATATTTCAATATAATTTTCAATTAATTTAAAATGAAGGGAAATAGTTTTTGAAAGAAGTGTGAAATAATTAAAGGTAAAAATTACGAAGCTTGAAGTTTCATCCCCTGAACCGCTCTCAAAATTTAGTTCAGAGAAGAACCATAAAATATTTAGGTACTGCTTCAGGATTTGTTTTTCGGAAAGGCGAGTTTGCCGATTATACCGAAAGAGCAATAACATTACTTTGACCAGGATCAATCCTTAAGACCTTACTACATGCCTGAACAGTGATGTTAGATATTCTTTTTACCCCACTGCGAGCAATCGTAGAAACTCGGTGAATTCCCTGAACACTACATGTAAATTATTTATCTTGAAAAATATCATGTTGTTACGAATGTCTTGCGAGATGATTTCAGGATGGGAACTCTATTGTTTTTATTAATGGTCAGCGGTCTGTCCTAGCTGGTCAAGATCCTTTCAAATACAAATTTATTTCAATATGTACATGTACATTTAGGTTACTGTAAAAGTACTTTTTCACGTGTGGTATTACTTAACATTATATACGTACTCGGCCATAGCGTACTTAATATAAATGTAAGGCATACAGTGCCAATCTAGAACATCCGCGTAATTTTCTACCCGTGGATTAAACAGAAATTGAATGACCCCCTGGAAAAAAGTACGTCTACAGTATATTTTTTTCAACAACCTTTAAGTTACCACTAATTTACAATAAAAATGCTAATATATCGAGAAATATATATTTAAAAAACTTTAAAATACAAGTTGAAAAAACGATTTAAAACCAGTTCTAAAGGGTATTTCATGAATGGCGTTCCAATTATCAACATGACGTTATGTGACGTTATTCAACGTTTTACGGCGTTATCTTGTTAGATTAAAATTTTGCATTGTTTTAAATTGGAATTTTAATTTGAATTTCAAAGGCATATAATAAAAAGCTTGGTATCAAAATATTCAGAAAAACTAGATCTTTCAGAAACGGCGAAAAAACGATTTTCGAAAATTTGGTCACGAAGGTCCCTTTTCGCTTGACGCAACTCAAATCGAATTGACGACGGATTTCCCTCTTATTTAATTGGTTATTTTTCAATGAATTGAATTGAATTGAACATATTTTATTGACAAAGTCAAAAGGATCGGACACAAGTTCTGTAACTTAGATAGTCCTCTCCTAATATAACATTTTGTAAAATTGCCAAAGTAAAACAAACATATATACATATGGTCTACTATATACATTGTATACATTGTAGCAATAAACAGGAATAGAATCTTTAAATATACAGAAATAATTTGAGATGTTGAGAAAAAATTATTTTGAAAAACGTCAACATTCATTTAAGAAAGTTTGAATATTCTTAAAAAGTTCAGCATTTTGTTCGAAAGTTAAAGAATCATCGCCCCATAGCATTAAATGTACATCTATAATATGTAAATAATTTAATGACAGTAGCTTATTCATTAAGGAATTTCTTGCTTTTACATAATGTTTACAAACAAAAAACAGATGATATGTATCCTCTATTAGTCCACAAGAACAATTAGGACTGGTAATTAGGTTACAGCGATATAAATCAGATTTTAAAATACAATTGTGTCTTAATCTTGTATGAGTTATGTTCAAAAACCTTTTTCCATAAGAAAAATATTTCTGAGGTTTAACATTACTATTTTGAAGATAATTTTTGAAAGTTTTAATAGAAGTTGCCTCTCTTGTTTTTAGACTAAGGGAATTCCACTTTCTTACGGTATCGGGAATAAATGATTTATTGTAGAGTTCTAATCTATATTTTGGCAAAGAATAATTTAAAGAATTCCTTGTAGTGTATCCTGAAATATTGCCTCTTGTATCAGGTACTAAGTTTTGCAAATAATTTTTGCAATATTTTTCAATCATGACATAGAGCACACAATGGGTGTGACCCGTCGGGAGGGGATGCCAACTCCTCCATGGCACCTGATCCCACTTCTGATGTTTGGAGATCCGTGTTTGCTCTGCCTGTATTTTTGTTGTTTTCTGAACTTTTGTATTAAATACTGTTTGTTATAGTGTTATCTGGATATCCTTCATGCCAAAAAGAGTATCTTCCCATATAATAAAGTGCCCTTCAGGGGGATATTTTAGCGGGTGGTAATGTTGACTTACTTTGGTATTTTGATGATAGCTTGTTCATCTGGGGCTGAAACCCCGTGTCAGCTAAAATATATGGTTTCTTATGTTTATACATAATTGGTTTCTTCCCATTTATTAAGGCTAATTTTGTTTTAGAAAAAAGTTATCATGTCCGACATTAAAGTGTCCTCTCATAGCAAATTATTAGAAATCATTTTCAAATAGAAGAAATTAAATGTACAACTAAGCTCCTTCATCATATATTTAGAATACTAAACAAGATGAGTGTGGTTAATTATACCGAAGATTCAATAATACAGAAAATTCTTGTACATGAAAAGCATAATAAGATTTTGAGAATATGATAACAAAAATAATATTTTTATCAAACAGGAACACCAAGAAGAGAATATAATTGTTGAAGAATCCGGTCAACGTATGTATCAGCATTGTTGGCTTTCACCATTTTATTTTTCATGATTTTGATATTTTTGGGAAAGAGAACATTTTACTGAAATATTGATATTTCAAAATTTGTAAATAAGGAATATTATTTGTGGAATCTTTTATAATATCTTTTAATTTAAGCTACTGATTTGATTTTGAATGCGGTGTCCAGAAAACTTCATGGGATTCCATCCACCTCCCTGCTTGCTTCGACTTTTGGAGTCCATATAAAAGAAACATCCAATGTTGAAGAGGATAGATTTAGAATTCTCTATAAATGGAAATGCAAAAATTCAGCACTGGATCACCTAAGAGAGTTGGAGAGAATTTTACGTGACGCTGAAGACGGAGAAGCCGCCGATTACGTTGAGACTTTTCAGGTGTCAGACTTTGAATGTAGTGATATATCAATGCCTGAACAACCTGTTTCAGAGAGTGACTTCGATATATTAAAGGGAAACCTTTCAAAGGATTACACGCATTTGCTGAGATTTTTAGGTCTGCCGCATGTATGTATAGAACAGCTCGAGGAAGACATGACATTTGTTAAAGAAAGGATGCATAAATCATTCATGATATTGAAAGAAAGACGTCCAAATTTAAGCCGTAAGGACATATGTAGAGGTTTGAAGTTCATAGAACGAAGCGATATCATTGATTTGCTGAATAAGCATTGGAAATTTAAATAGGACGCAAAAGATATGGAATCGCATATATATAAAATTCGGTATATTACATTTTGTAAGGACCCATGCATTGCATACCTGTGTAGAGCATTCATAGAAATAATAACTGATGACTAGTTATATCATATACATGTATATAATCATAAACTAGGCGGGACACACAGTCCGTATGCCAGACCATCGACTCCCCAAGAAACTTAACTTAGGTGAACTACTGGAAGGAAAGTTTGCCCCGTGGTGCCACCCAAAAATGATTCTAGGACATCCTAAAGGCCTCCTTCAAGGCATTCAGTGTCAACCATGACTCACTGGAAGTTGCAGCACAAGTCAGGTGTGGGTGGAGAGCCGCAGTTCACATTGGAGGGCGCCAAGAGCCGTGAAGCTAACACGTCGTCTGCAGCAAAACAAGGCAGTCAAGGCAGTGGTCATCGTCCCAACGATAGACGAACAACACCCTGTATACATTATAAACATTACACAATCACAGAAGTTGGTGCTGCAGAAACTGGTGATTTTTTGTCTAAATGAAGAATAACATATTAGATGGTATTCCTGGGATTCGAGCCCTAGAAATAAAAATCCAAAAAAGAATGATACTGCTTTGAGACTAACGCACTAACCAATATGCTACATGTCTTACGCTGATTGTTGGCATTTAAATCATGCTAGTGATATGACCCTTGACTTAACTCTTTAAAACTTATTGAAATGTATGCAACATATACTTAAATATTCACGTCATAGAAATAGAAATTTAACATTTACCCGCAAGCACCTTAAAGCGTGGTACACGTTTCTCAAACGTTTAGCCTAAATAATATGACGTCATATTTTAATAAAGAAACTTTTCTTATTTTATGAAATTTTTGCAAGAATGAAATAGAATGAAATTGGCACTTCATTAAAGATTAAATGAACTTTTTAAAGTGCGTGTAAATGCGTGATTGTGGGAAAACAGTATATGCGTGATTTTGCTTTAGAAAAAGGAAATGATGTATGCGTGACTGCGGGGAAGGGGGTTAAAGGACTTGAACTATTTCTTGGCAAAATGCGAATATATTGCCATAAAAGTGTACTTTTAAGGTACTATTTGGTCTTTGCTCCATGTCTTTGTAAAAAAAATGCATATTTTGTATATATTGTATATTGCAAACTTTTAGGATTATCTTTAAAAAAAATGGAACGATTGATTGATTGATTGTATATTGTTTAACGTCCCTCTTGAGAATTTTTTACTCATATGGAGACGTCACCATATGCCGGTGAAGGGCTTCAAATTTAGACCTATACTCGGCACTCAGGGCCATTCAGCAGTAAGGGTTCTTTATCGTGCCAGCACCTACCGTGACAAGGGACCTACGTTTTTGAGGTCATATCCGAAAGACCCGTGACTTTCACTTCTAGTGCCGAGCGCTTGGCGAAGGAATAGTCACTACCTTTGTTTACGTCTTAGGTATGACGCGGCGCCACGAATGAGAATCGAACCCGGACCTCCCGATCACAAAGAGAACGCTCTACCACTAGGCTACCGTGACCGGTAAAAATGGAACGAAGACCCACTTATATGAAAAATAAATTGTTAATTATGAGAAACTGATAGTTTTTTCAGTGTGTGTGTACTTTTCCATAGGCATACATTTTCAGTCTTTGTGTGATTTTTGTAAACTGTAGAGATTTTGCATTTAAGCATTAGATGAAATATCAAATAATATTAGGATATAATTGAGATTTAATTTTTCACTTCTTATCTGTCGATTTATAGGCACTTCACCCGTCTTATTCTCCAATCTTTTTCGGAAATGGTAAATTTGATAAACCAACATGCCAATATTGTCTCTTTATGTGAAAATTTAATCTGTTTAAAGGACACCTTTTCCCATAACAATGTGAATTCCCTTATAAGAAAATAGAAATAAAGTAATATTTCGTCCTTGCGTTACACTTCATTTTAAGGCCAATTGGAAGTCGATATGTAGTTTCCAAATATTTTTTTGTATATTGTGCTTTATATACTTTTGGTCTTATAAAAATGAATACAAATGTATCCTTTAGTGTTACTTGAATGTATTTCTTTAAAATTGATACAATGTGAGGAAAAAAAACTGCTATAAACTATTTGTTTATTGTTTAGAATGTGTACATAAATTTGACCTGTTTTTTTTTTTTTTTAGTTTTAGGTTTTTCATATTTTTTCATTTGATTTTTTCATGTTGCTAGATATATCTGTACATATCTCAAATGTTTCGGAGGTCCGTGTTTGTTATTTTGCATTGTTGTATAGACTTTGATGTTGAATACTGTTCGTTATCTCCATATCCTAAGCGATATTTGTAAATTTAATTTAGAATTCTAGAGCATATGCTTTTGCTTCATTTTTTGTGCACAATTATCACAATTTTTGTTTCTTTCTAGTTTGTTATTTGTAAATGAAAGTATTTATGATTATTGGTCACTTAATTGAGCCCTTCAGTTCTAATCCTTCCTCTCGTTTCTTAAAGGTACTTTGACACAGATTTGAAATTATTATTTTTTTCTATAATGTTTCGACTTATATACTTTAATAGCATTTTTCACAAAAATTGATTAAAAAAATATTTCATTTAAAGGTTATTAAAGCGTCAAATTTGTTGATGGGTTTGATTGACACATTCTTGCACTTTCACAAATTTTAAACTTATTCTTAATCCTTAGGAAAAGTGACAACCTAATTTTTAGCTCTACTGGTCAGAGACCAGAAGAGCTTATGCGATAGTAATGCGTCCGTCGTCCGTCCGTCCGTCTGTCTGTCTGTCTGTCTGTAAACAATCTTTCAAAATGCTACTCCTCCTACAGTTTTGGTCTGATTTCAATATAACTTGGCACACAAGTAGAATACACTAATACATAATTCTGTATATTGGTTTTTGATTTCGATTAACGGTACATGTATTGCCGTTGTTACTAAAAATAGAAATTTCTGTGAAATTCTTTCAAAATGCTACTTCTCTTACAGTTTTGGTCTGATTTCAATATAACTTGACACATAAGTAGACTACACTAAGATACATAATTCTGTGTATCGGTTTTTTATTTCGATGAACAGTGTTGCAGTGGTTACTAGAAATAGAAATTTCTGTGAAATTCTTTCAAAATACTACTCCTTCTACATTTTTGGTCTGATTTCAATATATTTCCATTTCCAATTGTTTTCTCTACGATAAACACTACAAAAGTGTTTCTTGTTAATTTCATGATAATATCCTGTGGTATGTATATTTCTCTATTACTGAAAGGTCAGGTGTCAACCTGCATGTATATCACTGGCGTATAAATATACCCAAAAAAAAATAGATGTTTTAATTGTTTACCAAGTAATTTGATATGAAATATATTTTTTAACAAACAAAATAAATAATGAATTATCTTCGGCTCGAAAGCAAGTCACTTGTGCAACGCTGTCCACTATGACCGAGGTCTCGCGAGTCCGAGAACACCACTTCCGTAACAGCCACGTGGAGAAATTGACATTGCCACATGGATCTGCACGTACTCTATCATCTGATACAGACATCGTCCCTTAGTCATTACCATCCGACTTCTTAAGCAACTCAACTTCTTCTGTTATTATAACATCCATACAAATCGGTTTCCTGACCATGCTGACCAGCTCCCGTTTCAGCAACATTGTTTTCAATATGGCGGCGGAGAAGTGACATAGTGCTTATTTATATTCGTGCTTCCGACAACCTGAATCTAGGTCACATATATAATTAAAGTCAACAGGATTACTTTGATCATCATATAAAATTCTTTTCTTGTTTATTTTATAAATGTTTATATTTGACCACGGTAAATATAAGTAGTCAATAAATTGTTTCGTTTTTTGGGGACTATTTTTTATAGTAAAATTCGCCCGTTATGCAAATTATCCCATGTTTCCCACTATTGTTGATGCCCTTGCATACCCTCAAAACTAGACAGTTATTCCTTAAATAACTTACCACACAAGTAGACTACACTAAGATACATAATTCTGTGTATCGATTTTTGATTTCAATTAACGGTGTTAACGTTGTTGCTAAAAATAGAAATTTCTGTGAAATTCTTTCAAAATGCTACTCCTCCTACATTTTTGGTCTGATTTCAATAAAACTTGGCACACAAGTAGACTACACTAAGATACGTTATTCTTTATATTTGTTTTTGATTTCGATGAACGGTGTTGCCATGGTCACTAAAATTAGGAATTTCTGTTAAAAAAATCTCGAAAATGCTACTCCTCCTGCATTTTAAGTCAGATTGTAATATAATGTGGCATGCAAGTAGACTATACTAAGAACATAAAGAGACTTAATCAAGGATCATTATTCTTTCTATTGCTGTGGTAAAGTTTTAATTCCCAACTTCTTAAGAACTTTTCTCTTCCTTTGCTATAAGTACAAACCAGTAGAGCTTCAGTCTCGACAGAGACTTCTGGTTTTCAAATAAGTTTGGTTTTGACACTAGATCGTCTATATACTTAAACATAATGAATTTTCATCATCTTTCTAATAAATGCCTTTAAAAATTCTCTTTTTTGTTTGCTTTTGTAAATACCTCAGAGCAAAATGCTCAAAGCTGAAAAATACAATCTATTTAGATTTTGGAATGCGTTACTGTTAATACAATACAATACAATACAATACAATAATTTCTATAGCGCATTATAATAATGACACTCTAGTGCGCTTCACATTAAAATAGATATAAGCTTACAAAATGGCGAACAAATTACCTTAAAAAATACATGATACATATTTATGCATAAAATAAGATATCTAAAAGACTTTATGTGTACTAAAAGACCGTAAAAAATCACGTTGCGTGGGAGTCATTTTAAAAAATTTACAACTTATGAAACATTTTTAAAAATAATAATAATAAATATTAAAGGAACCTGTACTCGATCACTAGAGCACGAAATAAAAAATATTAAAAACATTTTGATCAGTTCAATGTCCTTTTACATTAGGTATATATATCACTATAAAAACAATATTTTACATTCCCTCGTAAGCTCGTTCAAAGAGGTGAGTTTTAAGTCTTTTTTTAAAAGCGGAAACAGATTTGGAATTTTTAAGATACAGAGGGAGAGAGTTCCATAGTGAGGCGGCGGCGTAGTCAAATCGACGACTGCCGTACGTAACAGTTCTAACTTTAGGAACATCCAAAAGAAAAGAACACTGTGAACGCAAGGACCTGGAGGGAGAGTATATTTTGAGAAGCTCGGACAAGTAATTTGGAGCACGATTGTTCAATGCATTGTATACAAACAAAAGTATTTTATATTGACTTCTCTATTGGACAGGGGGCCAGTGGAGATCTTTCAAGATTGGGGTCACGTGATCAGATTTCCTGGTACAAGTTATCAGCCGCGCAGCAGTATTTTGGACTTTTTGCAGTTTATTCACAAGTTGCTTATTTATGCCATACATCAACGAGTTTGCATAATCGAGGCGGGAAATCACAAGTGAATTTATCAAGGTTTTG